AAAATATATAAAAAATGGGCCATGTATGTTTTTGGGGAAAAGATTATATGTTCCACAAAATCTAAGAAATCTATAAAATCATGTATATTCCATGCAAACTTCAAACATTATTTGGTTACAACATATATTTTTGGTAATAAATTAGCAGCTGAATGAGACTAAATGATCTCAAAGTCATTGTAAATAACCTTAATGTATTTTAAGGATTTCTTAAATTCAAAACATAGTTAGAGAATTCCACTAGAGGACTCTTAATTGCTCTAAAACAAAAAACCGTTCCTTTCCCCCAAGGGCAGATCCACTCCGAATTATAATTCTTTAAAAAGCCCAGATGTTCTTGTGGTCGAACAGGTAATTATGTTTCATACCTCCAGATTACTTTTTAACAATTTATTCGAATTTAACGCTAACATATGATTGAGAAAATCATGATATACACATATATGTGCGTAACATAAATGCTTGCATGAGGAAACGTTTACTAAAGTTCTTCAAACAGCACGTAATAGTCTCAGTGTTCATTTTTCAGTCACACAAATTACTCGCAGCAAACTTTGAAAAAAGTCAGATAACTAAAAGCTCTCTCTCACACACAAATGATGAGAAGAGCTTTGTGCTAACAAAGAATCAACCAGTATGACAATCCAAATTGACACTGTGGAAACTGATTGTTTTCGCCAAAGAAAATAAAAGCACACATTCATTGTCGCCACATATAAATAAGTAAATTAGAAGGGCAAACCCCGAAGTTTTAGATTCACAATGGATCATTTGAAGAATATAAACCAATGAAGCCCTGAATGGCTAACTTCCTTCACTTTTATAATTCTCATGCATGGAAACCAGTGTCCCTTGTTATAAACTTGTTCTCTGCGTTTCCACTGTTTAAGTCATTTCAGATGGTGGATTCTCAGCTATTCTCACACTCTTGAGGTTTCGGAAAAATTCCGAGAACTCCTTCGTACAAATTTGACCAGTAAAGAGGGGTCTTTAAATCGCTTTACAAACACTATTTATGTACGACATATGCCTCTCATTCGGAAAATTTTATTGAAAAAATTGGCTTGCACTTTGGTACATCTACAGTTCGCAGATCTTCACATATAGTTCCTTATTTAAAAATTGTCAACTAAGCTCGCCCATATACGCTACTGAGCGTCAATGGTTAAACACGCAGTCTCTTATCGTCAGTCGTTTTTAATGATGAGTGATGCATAACACTGTTTTAATTGATTGCCAGTTTTGACTATCTTCCCGTCGAATACTCAGATCGATTTTATGCCTTTATTGAAGATATAATCTTGATTCTAATAAGATTATATCTTCAAAAAGACAGGTTTAGGTTTCTGGTCCTACTAATTTCATAATACAAAAAAGTTCTTTATTGCATATTCGATATTCGTATGTTAGCGATCATATCACGATCATAACATATGTACACTTCTATTTTAATAAGTTATTTACAAAAGTATAAAACATATCTCTGTTTCTAGCTATGTTTATAAGGTTTTCTGAGTTCTGGAATTCTGTTAACTGCTGTATATTTTGAAGCTATTACATTCTCATTTTCCGACGAAAGCATTGCATTAATGGAAAATCTTAGTTTGGCGAAAGAGTGGAACTGTGCTAAATAAAGAAAATCTTGTTTCAAATCGGAGGAAGTGAATCATGAATTGAGCTTTATAGAATTCACAATGGATCTGTATGGTTATTTAAATATTTTATGGGTTCGTAATACTATCCCATTTTTTTCTTCCTAGTGAAGCGACATTTTTCCGTATTGGACGCATTTACGTTAATGCCCCATGGCCTCGTCCAATTATATGTATAACACCGCTTCAGCCTTCCCACATAACACGTTAGGATCTTTCCTCTCACAAGTATTATAACGTCGTCTGCATAACAGACGGGTTCAAATCCCTCCTCAGTTAAGGTCTTTGAAAGACTATTGATAGTGGTAACCCACTGCAGTGGTTATAAAATCCCTCCCTGCGGTGTCACTTGTTCTACGCTGTCCCTGATATTTATGTCTTGTAGGCTACAGGTTATCCATCTATTCCCTAGCATGTGGCTGACCCAGGCAATGATATTCGGGTAAACTCGTAAGGTCTCTAAGAATTGGATAAGTGTTTCAGTACCGACAATATTGAAAGCTCACTCGATATCAATGCGTTCAGCTAAAGTAAACATTATCTTCTCAAAGGAGCTTTCAGTGTGGTGTACCACCTCGTGCAGAGCGGTTTCCACTGATATTCCCTTTACGTCAACGTGTTGTTTGTACTTTAGCGTATAGTTGGGTGTGTTGCTCTTAATCATTGTGTCGACTGTCCGTTCCATAGTTTTGAGCATGATGCAATAATAAGATGATGTATCTAAACAAAAACACTTGTTTTTGTCTCGACCATCTGTCAAATTATTCTTTAAAATAAAAATAAAAGTTAGGCTAATAGGACAATAGGATTTTCGGGTTGCGTAGATTGCTATGCCGGGTTTTTGCTATAGTTTCCTGCCAGGATTTCGAAGTGTACACAAAACCTAAATATTCGTTGAAAGGTTCTGCTAAATGCGGTGATATACAGTGAGCAGCAAAAGTCATGGTACCCATACGAATTAAACAATATTCAGTAATTACTCAAAAAATAATTTACAAAATTTAAAACAATTATTTTTATTTTATGTATTCACTCCTATACTACAACAATAGAAAGTAATATTTCATTTATTTGTTCCAACAAACCATAAAAAAATCGAGATCGTGTCAACTCCACATTTTTGTGCAGCATAAGTCATGGTACCCCTGGAAGCTGATATTACACATCATATATGGGATAAAATCGTTTAGTAAAATAAAATTCTCTTAATATATTATTAAAATCTTTAATATATTATTAAAAAAGATACGGTACGTAGGTGCATCGAAAAGTGTGGTCGCACTGTCCGCAAATAACACTTGTTAACAAAACAAACAGAAAGAAACGTGTCGATTTTGCAAATGATTATAAAAACAAGACAAATGAGTTCTGGGAAAAAATTATTTTCTCGGACGAATCGAAATTTAACATATTTGAATCGGATTGACGCTCTTTGGTGTGGCGGAAAAAAGCGAAGAGCTCCATCCAAAGAATACTCGGAAAACAGTAAAGCACGGAGGGGGTGGAGTAATGGAATGGGGATGTCAGCAACTGTTGTTGGCTGGTATTCATTTAGGAAATAATGAATAAAACAGTTTACATGAATATTTTGAAACAAAGTGCTGAAATCTCAACATTCGTGATAATTATTACTTCCAACAGATCAATGATCCAAAACACACTGCTGTTGACGTTAAGAATTGGATCGTATACAATACATCACACATGTTGATAACACCTCCAAAAAGCCCTGATTTAAATCCGATTGAGCGCCTATGGGATCACCTAGATAAACGAATCCGAAATCATACAATTTCCAGTAAGACCCAACTCAAAGAAATACTTCTGACAGAATGGGCTAAAATATCGTCGGACTACACTTGTATACTCAATGCCCGAACGATTGAATGAATTTTTAAAACTCAGGGGATCTCCTACCAAATATTAGGTAAGTCTATTTAATTGTAACAATTAAGTAATATTAAATAATTCATTATTTTTCTCCAGGGGTACAAAGACTTATACTGTACAAAAATATGGACTTTGCAATATGTCGATTTTGTTTTAATAAAAAATGAAATTTTACTTTAATTTGTTGTAGTATAGGATTGAATACATGAAATAAAAATATATATGTATGTATTTGAAATTTTGTGAATTACTTTTTGAGGAATTACTGAATATTTTTTGATTTGTATGGGGTACCATGACTTTTGCTGCTCACTGTTAGTCCGCCTCCTTTTGTACTAAAGCGGGGAAAATTAGTTTTTATACATATGTACTGTTTCTGATGAAATAATTTAAATATGTGGATTATTTTATTGCAAATAACGATAAAAATTATTTCATACTTTTTTACTTTATAAAAATATAAAAATCAATTCATCAACATTGAAGTAATTAATCATTTCTATTATCTATTAAAAATTGTTACTTTAATTTTCATAGCAGTCGTGGCTTTGGCCAGTTAATGCGTAAAAGTCTCTTTGTGCCAACATCAAGAACTACCGATGTTTGTTTAGAATAAACAGGCAAAGTGCAAACAGCGTGAAAATCGCCACGACAATGAAAAGCTTTCCAACTATTAACTCTTAGATACGAGAACAGAAATAATATTTCAAAACAGAAATCTATTAGAACAATAGCAAGAAATACAGCAGTAGCAGCAGCAACAACGACGACAACAATACACCAAACTAGACGAAATCTATTCAGCAGCGGCAGCAGCAACACATGCAATTGATTTCCTCCAATGTCGCGAGTCAAACACACGCGAAGACGACGAGAATGTTCGTGTGTGTGCGTGTTTTGCACAATATCGTTGTTATGTGCGTTTGCATACAAATGTGTCAGCGTGTGCATGTGCGAAACATAAAATGCACCGAATAGCCGAATGACTTATAGAAAAACAACAGCAACAACACGACTAATCGGTAGCACTGTCCGAAACGTTGCCATGTGTGTGCGTATGTGTGTATGTATAACGCCATGTTATAATGACATAGATGTGAAAAATTAACACACAACGTGACAAACACACAGTCTTCGAATTAAAGCAAGAAAAAACATGAATGTGGGTACGCATATTTTTCGCAATGAAAATGTTGTACACACACACATGTAAATCAAAAGTCATGCTGGTTGCTGCTAATGATTGTTGCTTTGTATTTTTATGGACCAGCCAACATCCATGGCAAAATCTACTGCTCAAGTAAACTGCTTCAACCGCAATGCCACTGCTTCAAATAGAATCGAACGAAATGAGAATAAATGTGACGACCGACGGTTTAAGTCGTTTGTTTACCCACTCGCATACCGCTGGCCCTGCTAAGCTATGGCAAAGTGTGTGTTTGTGGTTACCTCACTTACCCGTATCTTTTGTTTCGTTGGCCACCTCTTGCCAAGCTTTTTGGATTTCGTCTTTTTTGCTGTACTCGGGCAATGTTGAATTCCACAGGCACGGTTTCGATTCTACCAGTTGCACAAATTTCACATTGAATACGGGATCATCTTTGCGTGTACTCATCGTGGTGGTGGTGGTGGCTGGTTGGGTCACCTGGCTGCTTTTGCTGTGGGTGGCGTTCTTCGACTGCCCGTCGTCTTCGTCGTCCTCAAATGCTGCACTTGCAGCGAAGTGGGCTACGTGTGACGTGGTAATGATTGTTGTTTTCTATCTACGGCTGGTGGTAATTTATGAGTAGTTCACAATTGGCTTCTTGGGGGTAATCCGCCAAATTCCAATGCTGCAATGCAGTGACACCAAGTCTCCTGTCACAACTGCCAAACTTTTGGTGTTTTCGTAGGAATATGAAAGTCAAGATTTCATTTGCCGACGTATTTCGTATTTGATGATAAGAGGTCCTCCTATTTATCGTTCCGCCACATTTGCTTCGTAGGTGAAAAAGCAAAAGAAATCGAAATTAGGTTGCAGCAAACAAATGAATGCTCCCAAATAGTTGTCAACGAAATGCTCGCACACACACAGACGCACACATATGAATGCATGAAACTGTGCGCCCTCTTTGTACCTCTTCCAAACGTGTATGTGTGTGTGTTTGTTACAGATGTGTGATTTTCTGCCCCCTATTTGTGGTGGTGCTCGCGTTAGTCAGGTCCGTTATGCAGTTTAGAATATTAGCACGAGCAAAAAGCCCAACCAAACTCAACGGCTGTTGAGTACAAACTGACTAAGCACACAAAAAGCGCGCAAAAACACCGATACACACAGACAGCGAAATACTCGTACCCAAAAGCTGCAATGCAGTTGCAGTAGCTTGGCAGTCTGGCTCGATGGCTGGCTGACTGACATCTTTACTGCAAATTACATGCAAATCACTGCTGCGAGTCGAAATCAATAACGCGTCAAACAATTAACTAGACGCTAAACGGCAAAAGCCAACTAGCCAGTCGGACGGACAACTGTTGGCGGTGTTTAGTTCAAATGACCCACCCCATGACTCAGTTATGCATGCACAGGCACACAAACGAATGAACGTTAGTTAGAAGTATGAAGTGTAAGTATCCATCCATCCCAAATCCAAGTAAGTACTAATTGTGGCCTAGTAACCAACTTGTAACTTGCATAACGACGACAAAGCATCAGCTGCATCGGTTTTCTGTCTATTCGTCTTACTATGCCCTGCTCTTGTGGCACAAACATGACAAATGCTGCTAGGACAAGTGGCACATCCGCAAACAAAACCAAAAAGAACCAAGTCTCCATTTGGCCCACTAATGCAATTCCCCAAGAGACGAAGTGTGCCAAGCTTTTTTTCCTCTTCCACCTAAGGTGACGTCATTTGTCTATGGCACCAAAAACACATTCGCCAAGAAGTGCAGCATTTGCAGTGTTTTTCATCATCAGGCGGTTGCTTTGTTTTATTTTTTTCTTTGCTATTTACCAAGCAGCAGTTAGTCAACAACGTCGTGGTAAAAAGCTTTTGCATTTCACGCGTATGTTCTCTCTTGCTCGGAACTTGTTGATAAAGCTTTTGCACTTTTGGTGCAATTAAAGTGCATCGTCGTCATGGCTGGTTTGTTGGTTGGGTTGGCAGGCTAGCTGGCTGGTGGACGGCATTTTGGTTTCTCTGTTTATATTGTGCTGAGTACGTCTATCTCTCATGGCGATAGAAAAAGTTTCGTTTTGTTGTTGTTAGGGAATTGTGTCGTGGTCGCACATTGTCTTCATTGCAACAAAGTTATAATCTGCAATAAGCATATATGGTTTTTTGTTTGCTTTTTGTTCTGGATCAGCAGAGGTATGTATACTGTACCTGATTACATAAATATGTTAATATTATGAAAGGAAGTCCACACTACATGAGAAATTTGGTTTGGAAAAAAATCGGCTGGGCCCGGGGATTTATTTAATCATGTGTAACAGTTTTTATATAGCTTGCGTAGACCAATGTTCCACCTTTTTATAGAAGAAATTCTCAAATCCCCGGCCAAGGGCGTCTATTTAGAAAAACATTTAAATTTAAAGAAAATTTTGCTCGCATAGCCCAATTTTCCACTTGTCCGTAGGAGAAAGTCTTAATTGACAATTGATTTTTTTTAATAAAAAGGATTTTTTGTCTACTGTTAACAATGGAGTTGGGCAATCTAGTTCACGCAGCGGATCGATCTTTCTCGTTCCATTTTTAAAGAGGAACTAGTTCCTTAATGTAGTTCCTTTGCTCCATATAGTTCCGGCTCCTACATAGTTCCTTTGAATCTCCCTCACTCATCGTTCTTTTTGTTTTTTTTTCGCTCACATAGTTCCGTGTTGATTACAAAATCACCTTAAGGAAAGGTACTTTTTTGACAAGTCCCACTTGCCAATATACAAAATTATAGTTTTTGTATATATGTGGACAAAAAGAAGGGGAACACTTAACGATATAATGGAAGATATCGATTAGTAACCGTACTGCTGTGGATTGGAATAGCTACTGTAGGGAAGTTAACATTGCTAGTGAATTCCAAACTCAAATTGAGATTGGTAGACCAAGTGTGGAAGTTGAAATTGGCGAGTCGAAGAAAGGCAAAAGAAAATACAGTATTTTTCGGTTAACTGACCCTACGGTTAACTGGTTTCCACGCTTAATTGAACCACATGATGGGCAAAAAATATTTCATAGGAAAACACATGCAAATCTCGGATAATTAAACCCTATTAATTGATTTTCCCGTTTAATTTACTTTTTACCGGTTAATTGCATAATAATAATTGAAAAATAATCTGACATTTTTTACATACATATTTGACATAATTTGTGAAAAAGAATAGGAGGCATCTCTACTAATTCAAAACATATGTTTATTGCTAAGGAAAAATTGTGACATTGGATTTTTTTTTAAATCATTAGCAGTTCCAATTATACGTGATTACTGTAATTGAACAAACTATTCAATTAAACGGGTTCGGATAATTGGTTCCTCGGTTAATTGAACAAAAATTTGTGCAAATTTTGATGTGCAATTAACCGAAAAATACTGTATCACCGTGGACATGCAGTTGAGGGGCAGTGGGTTTTTGAAGGCATTGAGCGATCAAGTAATAAATGTTTTATAGTGCCGGTGCAAGATCGTTCGAAAGAAACCTTTCTGCCCCTCATTAAAAATATATCAAGAGATGGAAGAGATATCCATTAGTGGAAGAGTTATCCATTACTAACCACAATGCTGTGAATTGGAATAGCTACTTTAGGGAAGCTACCATTTTTAGTGAATTCCAAACGAGTCGAAATAGGCAACAGAAAACATAACCGTGGACATGCAGTTGAGGGGCAGTTTTATAGTGCCGGTGCCGGTCGTTCTAAAGAAACCTTACTGCCCCTCAATAAAAATATATTAAGCCAGGCTCGGTAACAATTTCGGATGGTTAAAGGTAAATTATGTATTATCTATATATTTTTATATTCATTAATATTATTTTCTTTATTTTGAGGCGTATGATACATTGGATTAGGAGCGGGTTAACCACTCCGAAAATTTCGTCGATCCACAATCAATTCAACACACAAACACATATAGAAGGGCTCTGGCGCCATCCAAGAAAAGCTATTACTGCATATTCTTGTCGGAATGCTTTTCAGTGGTTATGTGCAGAATTTTATCTTTATAAGATGATTTCGTGCTAATGAGAATAATCCATTTGTAGAATTTCTCAAACTCGCGAGTCAGCTGTATGATCCAACCACTCCTGCCGCTGACTCCGAACTTGAGTGAATTTGAGGGGGTTCTGCAGCTTCTGTTGCGTTGGAAGACATCGGATCATCAAGTTCAGAAGGGAATGAGGATGATTATTATTAAGGATTTTTTAAAACATGTTTTTTTGTAAATTGTATTTATTTAATATTTTATTATAATCGAATATCTTTTTAAATTTTTGAAGTATTTGTTACTATTTTAATTTGTTTACTTCTTAATTTATTTGTTAGTGTTTAATTTGTTACAAAATTAAATTATTTAAATTGTTTCCGAATATTTTAATGGCTTTTTTAATGTGTAGATATGAAAATATCAGTCCATATGTTATTTGTATATTTACACATTCACAGCCTTTTTGGTTAATAAATAAGGGTATAAAATGTAGATTTTGTGAAATTTTGATTTTGTGGATCTTCTTTCAGTATGAAGATCCACAAAAAAATTATGTGGTTGTGATCAGCTTTAAAAGTACTATCTGATGTAAAAATTGTAAACGTTTCGGAGTGGCATTCTTAACGATATTTAATAAAAAGTGGGATTTTCTTAAAACTCGGAAAGTACCGATTTTCCCTCGAAAAAATGTATGTTGTAATCAGCATTAGAAGGGCTACCTATGGTAAAAATTTCAAAATGATCTGAGAGATGTCCGTAAATTGCATTTATTCCTTATGTTGTATTTATTCATTTTGAAATCACCTCTATGCGATTTTAAATCTATTTATTAATTAGTGGTAAAAGAATGACGTGTCCGCCGCTAATTCTGTGTTTTCAAAAAATCTTCAACTCGTAGATTTTATGTGCACATGTGTGGCAAGTGCACTAGCAAATGTAAGCCGTTTTAAGTGAAGTTGCCAGATTTAAAAAAATACATTGGGTAATTACAAGGGACAGATTTAAAGGTACGGTTACTTTGGGGTAGGTTATTTAGGGGCAAACAAATGAATTGGGTAAGTACTGAAAATAACTGGGTATTCTGAAATCGGATTAATTAACCGTGGAAGGTAATTAAGCGGGGAATACTGTATTTATTAATTAGTGGTAAATGAATGACGTGTCCGCCACTAATTCTGTGTTTTTAAAAAAATCTCCAACTCGTATTGTCTTTCTTCCAGTGCTTTCTTTCCTTGGTCCTTTTCTTTCCACATTTCTTCGTGGGCAATTTATATGCCTAATACATAATGCTTTCCAAAATAAGTATTTTTGCGTGCAATACTGAAATTCCAAACTCAAGAGCTTCGGGACTTATCTCGTTCTTTTTGCTTAAAATATTGAAATCCTTGGATTGAGGTTCTTAATTTCATTTTGTGACGATCTTAATTTAATTTTGCACATAATTTATTTTC